TTTACGATCAGCATTCACTTTCACTTACATCAATTTCTTGGATAATGTCTTTTATTTTACTTGCTCCGTCTTTCATTTTGATCCCTTTTACACTCTCTTCCAGCATCGGAGCTCTTCTTGTCTTAGCTGCTTGACATCCAAAGGTCCGTTTTGTAGCCATTTTAGCAATGCAACGTACATGCTCGTCTGAATCTAACAGTAACCAATACTTCCTGGACCCGGTGGCTTTTCTTTCCACCATCTCACTGTCTCTAACTCGACCTCCCCTCGATCGCCACCTAAGACAGCGTTGCTCAGCTGATGTCATGCAATGAACTTTTAAGCCAGCTACGGGGCGCATCGTAGTCCTCGATGGCCATAGTTAGCTCTCGAAGGCTAAAAACCTTACGCTAACTGGAGGGCTTTTCTCTCATTTGCGCTCCAGTTAATGTAAGATTTTTAGCATGATAACAAGTAAAGCATTTTCGAGGAAAATGCTTTACTTGTAATACGAGGAAACGTTCGTTTATTTGAATGTCCGTCGAGCCATAAGCAATGTACTCTGAGCAGCTAATCGAATGCATTCCACTCTATCTTCCACGGATCTAGCTTCAGTACCTACGCACATAGACAGTGAGGTAACCTCTTGGCCAATCGGAGGCCAGGATGATGCTCGGTAAGCCAATGGCAGAGCAGCTATGAGTATGTTGCGTTCAGGAAACTCACAGCTGTGACCGAAATAAACATCGTTCACTATGTAAACCAGTGTGGTGGTTGCTGTTGCCGTTTTCGAACGAAGCAGTAGAGGTCGCTGTTGGATTAGACTTTGTTGTAGTGAATGTCTTCGCGAGGCTGGAGCAGAGAAAATGAAGGGGGGTTTTCGTCGTATGGGGGGGCAGTAGAATGGGAATGATGGTAATGCATGAAGATTTTTTCACATTAGGGGGTATTTTCGCCCATGTAGGTTTCGTTCTAGAGGAGTTTCACCGCACTCTTAAATTAGGCGCAAGGGTCATTTATATATATGTAACGGAGTGCTACATTGTGTTTATTAAATTACCGCGGAAGTGACGCGACAGCGCACAGTATGGCACCAGCTTTCCGCCGTAGTTCAGGCAGAGCTGCCAGGTAAGTCACATGGTAAATCACGTTTCATTGACGGTCCGGATTCATTTATAGTTTAATTACAATATTTCACTTTGTTTTTCCTTTTTCTACGGTGCTATGTCTTTAATTATTTCCCTGATTTGTCCCAAGTCCAAATCGCTTTTTGTATTGTTATTTAATTTTACGTTTTGTCGAATGAAAGTTTGTACCCGTTGAGTTAATAGTGCTTTTCTGTTACTCAGCTATGTCCGACACCAAACGCGACTTCACCATTCCCCTGCCATGCTGTGTTTCAGGTAATGTTTGTTTCCCTTTTGGTTGTACTGTATATAGTTTTTCATGTCGTTTTTCATGTGACTGTTTGCGTTTGTTGCTGGCGGTTCGTCGCGGCCGCCATTGTTGTGCATTGCGCAGCCGTTCTGCTGCGTGTGATGCGTTCGGCGGCATCACGTAAATAGCAGTGTGTGTGCATCTTTCCTTTTTTTGTAAATAATCACGATACGATCACCCATGTTTTGTATTTGGTCTTGTTGTTTATTTTCTCTTGCTAAGATGATGTATTGTTCAGGCAGAGCTGCCAGGGAAGTCACATGCTATGTCCGACACCAAACGCGACTTCACCATTCCCCTGCCATACTGTGTTTCAGTAATAAAAAAAGAGAGAAAAGCCACACTCCACGCGTCTGGTTTTATTGAGGCGGCAGCGACGTGGAGCTTGAGAACATCACAGTTGTGAGCCCCGTCACACACATACATACATATACTGTATACACACACACATCCACATGTGAGAGGTCTGTGTGAGACCTCTCACACACACAGGCACACACACACACACACACACACACACACACACTTGGTGACTTCTGATTCTACGTCAACCTTTTGTCGATGTCACCTTTTTTATTCTCACACTTGCATTCTCCTTTGGTTTACCAAAAACTTTAAAATCTGCGCAGGTTAAAGTTTGGGCTTTGGAGTTTGACTCATTGTGCACAACAATGACCCACGCGTTATGCAATGTTTGAAATGCCTGTTCATTTCTGATGTGATTGATTGTTCCTTTAGTCAGGTCTACCAAAGATAACATGGATTTTTAATGATTGTGAGAGTCACCAATTAATTGGAATCGGTGTAGTCGATAATGCAATGTAACATTGGATTTCAAGCACTGTCTATGTTCTAGGCATTCCAAAAAAATAAGTAATAATCAGGCATTGTCATTTAAATGGTGGTGCTAAGCCAAATGTGTTTCTGTCTGGTTGGGGTTTTTTTCTGACTTTTGAGTTGAGTCAACAATGATGACACAGAAGATTTTCTTCCAAGAACATCTTTAGTCTGAATAAAAATAGAAGAACCTCTTTAGTCTTTGCCATCTTGTCATCCTTCTGCAAGCGATAGATCTGCTTCTGAAGACGAAGGTTGTTCTCCTGCAGCTGGCCAATTTTCTCGATGAGCTGGCAGATGTGCTCCAAGTACCCAAGTCCTGACCCCAAAGGACTGGATCTTGATTCCTGTGTCTGGATGACCACAGCATAAGGTGACAGGTGAATAAGGACCAGAATTAAGACTAAACTAACAAGAGCATTGTTTTTAAGGGAAACAGAATCAGATCTTATGGGATTCTGGCTCAATCATTTCAATGCAGTATTGAGTATATGCGGTCACAGGCAGGCTATGGGCAATATGGGTGACCCCCCCTCCAAAAAAAACAAAAAAAAAAAACCTCATATGGGCAATATGGGTGACCCCCCCTCCAAAAAAAAAAAACCTCAAACAAAATTTGCCAGCTTTCTAGACTGGCGTAATTTCCAAGTCGAGATTTTCACGTCAACTTGCTGCTGTCATACATGTTGTGTGTGTCCGGAGAGGCAAGGGAAAGGGATCTCGGGATAAACTTGCGACGGTAGAGGTTGGCAAGAGGGAGAGGGAGAGGGAAAGAATGGATGAAAGACCACACGACGCGCATTACTTCCAAATAAATTGTATGTAATAATTCAATGTTGCCCATTCGTCACTCATTGTAGCGTGTGTTTGTGTGTGCATGTGGGTAGTGTATGTGTGCATTTTTATGTATTTTTTTTTACTTTTGTAAACATTATAAATGCTGTGAACAACATGTATACTCATGACAATACTGTTTTCACTTTATTAGAAATCCCACTAAAGCCTGTGTCTGAGGATGAGCCTCTGTCTGCTGACCCAGCTGGATTGTGGAGGAGCAAGTGAGGCATCTGCTGTCTTTGCTTACTGTCAAACTGGCAGTCATGAAACAGTCATGAAATTAGGAAAATGTTCAATTTGATGTTATAAATTGTGTGACATTATCTTTTGAATTAAACGCAATATTAAAAATTAAACTGCTTTGTAAGTGCATGTAAATCATCAATGGAGGGGAGCGTCAGATAACATTATACGCAGGGCGCCACATTGGCTCGCAGGAGCACCACTGACTCCTTAAAAAACAAAAAAAAAAAGCCTAATTTAAACCTTCAGCCCTATAAATTCCCCAACAAAAGCAGGATATGAACTTCGCTTGGGGGTCTGTGCTGTCCTCCTTTGACGTTCCTTTCCCATGATGCTGACACTCACAATCCTGTTCAGCTACTGGAAACTAAAATGGAAACTCTGTGCAAACAATTAGTTATATCAGGCTTGGCAACTGACATAATGCATTTCCTGCTATGGACAAACTTTCCTGATAATCACACAGATGCATGAGTTCACACACAGCGGTATGAGTTCACACACAGCCATGAGGTAGAAGAAAGCATCAATAATAAGGCAATGTCATCGTTTTAATCTTTTAATACATTTTCATCTAATCTCAGGATTGCAGGTAACCTATATTATTAAACATTGCCAATTACTAGAACATCTGAACTTTATTTGGGGGTGAATTGGTGCCACTCTCAATGGTGGTATGCATTTGAATATGACCGGATAATAGCCAAATCCCGTTATAAGAGGCTGTGCACCTTTGTTTAACCAGATTATCTTAAATGTTCATTTGTTTTTTGTTTTTTTTTCAATCAAGTTAGTAAAGGTCATAAGGCAATTTTGGTGAAAAAATTGTGAAATTAATTTAATTGATCCCTCTTTTTTTAATAACACAAAAGCCTAAAAGCCTGAAGAGGATCGGGGTGAGGACTGACCCCTGGAGAACACCACAGGTGACAAGAAGCAGCCTGGACTCACGGACTCCAAGGCAATTAGAGTCCTGTATGAAGGATAAGACCTGAACCATTTGCAGTGCATGATTTGTCTGTCCAAGGCTGTGATGGAGATGCTCAAGGAGACGGGTGTGGTCCATGGTGTCAAAAGCTGCTTTTAGGTCCATGAGGTTGAAGAGTGATGGCAATCCTGAGACAGCAGTCATCAGAAGGTCGTTTTGTCACCCTAAGCAAAGCTGTCTCAGTGCTGTGGGCTGCATGAAACTGGAGGTGGATCAGGAGATGGGTGAGTGGAAGGGAGTTTGAGGGAACTGTGGATGGTGTCACTTTCGGACTGGAAGAAATTCTGGAAACTACCGCATTTTGTGAAGGATGAAGCGGTGTTACTAGTGGGTTTAAGGAGTGGGTTGATGGTTGAAATAGAGTATTTTGGATTGTTGGAGCAAGGGTGGATGAGATTTGAGTTGTAGTTTAATCCAGGGGTCCCCAACCTTTTTTGCCCCACGGACCGGTTGATGTCAGACAATATTTTCAGGGACCGGCATTTAAGGTGTGGCG